CTTGTGGTAAGGAAAAGTTCTTGTGGCTTGCTTTCAGTACTTCGAGCAAGAAGTTTGAGAGCAGGTTGAGCGTTTTTCTACGTATAAAATGTTTCATAAATCACTATAAGCAGTTATGTCTGTGCAATAGTGAGCATGCGCTGCTGCTGTTGCGCTAATGTGTACCCCCAGATGCGAGCTTACACGCTACTCAAGCCTAAAATAACTAATTCCCAAGAACAAGACAAGTGAGGAGTCGGAGAGCTGCTGGCTTTCGAAGTTGTGTTCGTGCTCCATTCTCGCTTTCACTTCCAACTGTCCATACATACATCCCGTCTCCCTGATCTTCGTGATTGATTGATAGTCGATGTTCTGTGACCGACGATTTTAGGACATCGCGATTATGGCTACCAGAGCTTTACGCACCTGGGATATGTGGGATGCCACGGTAACTATCATCATTACATTAACTCAGTTGTTTCGACGATGTGGTTGCTGGCTCAGGTGGTGTGCTTTTGACATCTGCCAGATGGTGTCGGTCTGCTCCAGAATCGCCTCTGGCACAGTTCAAAATAACGTCATCTGCCTTGTTGACATGTCGATGTTTCGTGGTAGACTAGCGTTTCTTGCTCTTTCGCTAATTTTACGTCCAAAACATTGACTGCAACACCAAATTTCTACTGTTCACAGCTAATCATGTTTAGGCTTCGTGTGTGTGCGTAGGCTTTTCCTACTTTCTCAGCTACTTCTCAACTAAAATTTCTGTTTGTCACTATAATACGCATGTTACCCCTCTTTTCATACTGTTAGATAGTTTTCTGCAAAAGTAGATTGATAAACTTCCATTGTAATCTTTCTGGAAGGCGCTCAACCCTAACAGTTCTAGCGGGGCAATTTGAAAACACTAATACAGTGCGCAAGCGAAATGGCTGAAATGAAGTTCAGCTTTCTAAAATCAAAGTGAAGTATGAGGAGAGGTGTACTGTTCTTTCCATTCAGCTGTTTTTGTGGTGTAAGCTGTCTCTCCCTAATGGTTTTTGTTAACTCGTCCAATGAGTTTTCTATTTAGGAGGTGTAGCCAGTTTCAAACCCGGTACAAGGATCGAGCACCTGAGAAAGTGAGCTTTCTTTATTTCTTCTGAGCTTCATTGTTTGAATGCACTACCATTTCAATGATTGTTGCAGTCTTCCTGACCTTCGCGTCATTTTGGTAAATTCAAAAGTTGAGCGAAATACATCTCGGATGGTGCAAACAGTGAAGGAGAGACTCAAAAAGGTAAGAGTTTTCTTTTTAAAAAATATATATGAAAGGTTTTAATAGGATTAGATAAGATAGATTTGTTACCATTCTATAGCACTTTTGCACATTCATAAAGAGCGGAAACGCCGACTCTGTCCTTATATGGATCTACATGTGCAACATTCTAAAATTAAATCTAATAAAAGCTATTTGCTTAAAAATAATAGTTTCCCCTGTTGTTTCTAGTGAAAAAGTTCTTATCTTGCTTATATGTACCTGTAGCAGCTTACCAATAAATGGAGCAGTGATGGATTAGCGTCCAGTTAGGTCTTGAAGAAAAGGTAACAGAAGAAAATTTTA